GGAGAGAAGAGAAAGAGAGAGAGGAGAGAAGAGAAAGAGAGAGAGGAGAGAAGAGAAAGAGAGAGGAGAGAAGAGAAAGAGAGAGGAGAGAGAGAGACTTGGAAAATGGTGCAGGTCCAAGATCTCTGAATTTTGAAAATCACTACCGTTTAAATATTTTGAATTTTCTCCTGCAACAATATTACTAAACAGGCATTGTGTTCTCAATTAATCCATCCAAAATTAAATCTTTAAATGATGTAAATGCTGGTTTTCAAGATCTGTAGAATTTTCAGCTTTCAATGGAATCTAGGATATTAAAAAACAGACAAATGATTTTATTGCGAATCGGACCATGTTTTAATTTCTATTTTATGTTTGAATACGAAGAGTAATATAGGCAGTGCACAAAAATCTCTTGGCCCTGCAGAAAAACAGCTGTGGTACTTGACCCCTACACAATGGTACTGACATACCGTTGACATAAACACTGGCAAGATACCTTCACAATGAGCATCACACAAACTCTTCTCAGGAAATATCCTCAGGATGATAGGGACCAGGTAGGTGTTTTAAGCCCCAATAGAGAGCAGTTGAAATGAGGATGGGGCAAAAGCTAGCCCAGATTCAAGAGAAACTACACAAGTCTTTGCCATTTAGTAGCAACAACAGTCATTTCTCCCACATGTTGGCATGCCATTTGTGAAATAATATAATGCAACACAACACTAGCAATTCAACGCAATGCAATAACTTAGAACACAAAAAACAAATGATCCCACCTGATAATCTGAATTCTTAGAACCCAATTGCCTCTCCAGAAAGTCACAAGGGGCAGCTTGTTATGTAACAGCAGACTGAAAAATTACTGTTTAACCACAGTAACTCTTACAAAAGCCACTCCTGTACACAAGTGAATTATAACTAAGAATACCTGCGAGTATGGTTTAGGGAAGATGCTCTTACAATGAAGTCAAGACCCTTTCTCCACCTAACCTCACGGTTAGCCTTTCTTCCCCCCTCAATTTTCAAAAACAAGTTGGTACAATGGTTATTTCTGGTACTTTTTCCTTGTGATTAAGAGAATGTTGTTTCTTTGTTCAACCTGTACAGAAATTCACTGAGCAGGGGCGACAAGTATCTTTACTATAGCACATCCTCGGTACGATTTTAGTTTGAAAAACCCATTAACTGGAGATGTGCAAAGAACATTTCATTCTAACAAAAAAGTCAATGTAGTGCAGGAATAGCACCCCAGTGAATATGAAGAAACCCTGGATCAGAATGAATTTTTAGAAAAACCTTAACCTGTAGGACTATTTAAGTAACCCACGTAACATTGGTTCATACATGTTTGCAATGAAACCAAGAATATACAATCTAGTTGGATTCTTCTAATTGATCTGATTTTTTAATGAACTTATAAACTACCATTTTGATTTTTCTTCTTACAACCATTTAAAGAACCCAAAATAGTATAAATTCAGTATCAAACATCTATATATAAATAAAAGGGAATATGTGTATGCATGTCTAACATGGATGTGAAAACTACTTTATCAATTTCACTGACATTTTCACACTTTAATGTTATTATTAATAGGAGTGTGTAAATTATGATTTGAATTAAATCAGACATTAAATCAGACATGAATTAAACCCATGTACACACGAACTAAGCAACCTGCAGCATAGTCAAGGATTAAGCATGTCTTCACTGTATATTCTCTGCCTGTGCAATTGTGAAATATTGCCCAGTATTATTTTAATCTTGGGCAAATAAAATTTCTGCAAGATTGTATCATGCACAAATTTCAGGGAGGTTTTAACGATAGGATACTTGACAACCATGCCCTAACCAGGTCATAGAACAAACAAACTTGCATGAAAGTATTATTAAAAGTTTTGCACAGTATACCATAAAATTGGATAAACAATCACATGGCCAGTAGTGTGCAATACATAATACACTAAGGGAGAAGCATTGGCAGATGATTTACAATAAATTGAAAATCAAAATAGCACAAATCCTGGTTACATTATAACATATATTACCTCTAAGATCTCTGAACCATAATATAAACGAGAGTTTTAAGAAATTATGACCATGAGAAACATAAAACATGGTTTTATCTGTATGCTTAGTTTGTCCCGACAATAGAAATTGGTAGGGTGGAATAGGCAACTTAATGTATCTCCTTTTTTAACACAAATATAATGTAATATTAATGTCCTGAAAAGGAGAAACCATTTTCCTAGGAAGCAAAACACGAACTTTGTAGTATAGTACAAAAAATAAAGGAAACACTACATTTTGTTTAGTTTTAATCACCTAGGAAAGGAACAACCCATCACAAAAGCTGCCTGCAGATTATGAAGAAAAGCTTCTGAAGTACCAAAAGTACATTATACAATTGTACCATCAACACAACCATAGGGGTCTAATGGGAAATGCTGATGAGAGACCGTGTACTTCAACATGCCTTCTAATACAGTGGCTACAAAAGGGCGTAAATCATTTATGATAAAAACATCTGGAAAGGGAGAAGAAAAAGAAATAGATAGAGATAGCAGATGAGAAGAAGCTCCCATTTCTACTGAATGCATAATAAAAGGTTTCAAGAAGTGCTGTGTAAGCAGCAGTCTGAATGGCACAGAAGAGGTGGTGTTAAGGAGTGAGAATAATTGACATGACTCAAGTGACAACGAAAAGTTAAGACAGTTGACAGTCATGATTAAAGTGAATGTGGTAAAATGGAGGTTTAATTCGTGTATAAAATATTGCTATACACAAAGTCCTTTTTGCATAAGGTCAATAAACATGATAATTTTTTTCAATTTCATTACCTTGTTGGAAACTGATTTCATGTCATAAAAACGAAGGGTATATTGGGGTGAATTTTTGCCCCTAATTTCAAGGTATAAAACTATGGCTAATCTTATATTTGAGTCGTCATATTCAGGGAAATATACGGTAAACTATTCAGAGACTATAATTCCTAAGTTTTGCAATTTTAACAAATTTAGAATACAATTAAGACAGGATGTGAAAAATCAAAATTGTGTAGTTATGGGCGAAAATCAGACTACGTAAGTGGCAAGATTACCATTGCAGACCCTACAATGCTGCATATGGTGTGCATTTTAAAATGGAGATAATTCAAAACTAAAATTGCTATTTGGAAAGGAAAAAGTAGCCCTTTCCAAAAAATGTCAACCACAAGAGCAGCTCTAGTGACCTTTTCCACATGAGGAAATTCAAGCAGACATTTAAAGGTTTTCCATCACGTTTCATTAATTAATATGCAAAGCTCCAAAATCCTATAGAACTAAAGACAACTAAAACGAAACTCTTTCTCACACCATGTATAGAGCATTCCAAATAAATCTGACAAGACTACCTACATTTTAACCAGCCTTCTCTGCATCCTGGCAAGGTGTGACCCTACCCACTTCAACAGATCAAACACTGCAATTAAAAAGTTCTGTTTGGGAAACCATTTTCATATAGCCCTTTGGTAATTTTTTCACTTGCTTCATGGAGGTGTCTAAGCAAAAACCTTTTATTGCCTTGCAATAGTGGACAGCAACTATGCAATGAAAGTAAAAAAGTTACCTTTCTGACCCTGGGAAACTAGGGGAACTTCAGGCATTCATGTTTGATTTGATTCGTGCCAGACATCTCCTTTACAATGTGAACACTTCAGTATACTTTTCTTTGCAAGTAAATATTTTCCTTCCTAAGAAGAGGAAGAAAGGCAGTTTCTTTAGCCTCCTCTTCCTGAAGGGAAAAAGGACTTTAGTCATATGATCAAAACTTAATCATTCTGGAAGAGGTTGGGGAGGGGGGTGTCCATGTGATTGTTGAGTCTGCTCCATAAATCCAACAAGAGGACATCCAACTGTGGAACAGTTGACCAAGAGACATAGTAGGGAGATTTCAAAGTGCTGCCCCACCATGGCTCCCTCTGGTCACTTGAGAGTTCAAAGACCACTCATAGCCGAATCACAAGTGCGTTAACTCAAGATCACTCCTGTCGAAGAGGCTGAGGCAAAAGGTAGTGTATTTCAGCAAAAAGTACATTCCTATACACAGACACTAGGACATGCCAGTGTTCGCACAACAGACAGTTGGAGGGAGTCTACTGCAAGGTTCCAGAATCAAGGTGGAATACATGAAGCACACACATGCCTCAACCCCAGGTCCCCCATTCCCTTTCAATATGGTTCACCACAAACCCAATGGTGGACATTGTGCAGACACAAAAGGCCAGTGAGGAACAAGGGAGACAACAGGAATGATCGTGACAGACAGAGCAAGTGAATGGAAGATTGTGAAAGAACAAGACTACCTTCCCTGCATCCTGCTGCATTGATGTGGACCAAAGCATCTTATTGGGTAAAAAAATAGGGACTCAACAGCTTAGTAATGGAAATGGTAATCAAAATATTCTGTTTATGGGAGACGACAGACTAGTACTCTCTGGTAAATAATTTCACTTGTTTTAAGCGAGGTTTTTGGAGCACAAAAACTTAATTGAATTGCCTATCCCATCATGGTGAACAATAGTCCAACCTTAATGACAAACAAAAACAAAATCTCTGCAAGGGGGACAATTCTCAGACTATTGCACATTGGCAGTTATTTTCATTTGTATCAACTGAGGTGTCAGAATACAACATCATTGAATTGTCCCATCTTGTAATTGTGAATGACACAATTACTCCAGTTTAATCACAATGAGTAAACTACAGGAAAACAAAATTATGCAAGAGAGAAGTTTCAGACTAGAGCACTCTGGCATTGCATTACGTAAGGTTTCAGAAAACCATAACTTCACTGAATTGTCCCATCCCGTGATGGCAAGCTACAGTCTAACCTTAATAACAGTAGACAAAAGTAAAAATCCTGCAGAAGACAATTCTCAGACTACTGTGTACAGGCAGTTTTTTTCATTTGTATCAACTGCGGTGTCAGAATACAACATCATTGAATTGTCCTATCACGCAAGTCTTTCAACCTCGACAGTAATAATAATAATAATAAAAACGCTGATCCGATAGCAGAGATCGCGATGACAGCATAGTGGCAGTGTCAAGAAGAATCGTCGGTTCAAGTCCTTTCACGGGCATGGTTGTGTTCTGCGTGTGACGCATCATTCACCACAATTTCACCCCATTCCCAGGGTTAACTATTCTGGTGTGTAAAAGTGGAAGCGTAAAAATTCTGATCTTTCAATAGAAAGTAACATGCCCCAATCCTGATATTCAAAACCGAGCCCCAGCGAGATGTGGGGTGTAACAATACAATCATTGAATTGTTACATCCCATGACAGGTCATCTGCAGTGAAAGACCCCAGAGCAAGGAGGAGCTATTAGTCACTTACTAGTCATTACTGTCCCTTTCCTCATTGTCCTCCCCAGAGACAATCGCAAAGCATTCTTAAAATGATATCACACACTGATCTGGGAATAAGAAGGTTAGACTGACATTTCTCTTAACTTGCAAAGGGGTATCAATGCTTTCTTTAGCAACACTTTTTACCGTATTGCGGTCTGAAGATGGAAATTCCACCAAATCGTCAAGGACCACAGACAGATTTCAGTCTTAGCACTGCACTCATTTGCGAATCCTCTATAATAGTTTGCATATGGAACTGTGTCTCAAATGAGTTTACACTACTGGTTCTAGAACCTAACATCGTCTCCTATATTCCTTAATTTTGTGCACATAACAGTCGCCTATTGTCATCCCATCTGTGCAAGGAGGTTGGAGCTTTCTGTAGCATGTATTTGCAACTTTTAGTGCTAAACTACTTATGCTGGTAAATTATTCTACTAGACCTCTCAAGTGACAAACAGTGGATTTATATTCCCTCCCCCCTAGAAGTAGCAAAACCGACTATCTATAAATACTCTGAACTTCGCTTATATTCACAATTATATTTGTAAACAAATACTTTAGATACAAAGCAACTCAAAATTGAACGTCCAATTTTTGAAACAATGGGGTCAAATGGGATATACAATTTTGCAGTAAGGTGAATAAAGTTGATGTCTTTTACATCAACACTGGTGTGCACATTCAACATAGGATAGCCAGGAACAGTGGTAGGGTAGCATTCCGAAGGGCCGGTCTGCAATGTGTGAATGTAACCCCAGACTAATTTCATGAGATTTAGATAGAAATGGTAAGGAGGGGGACAAGAATCATTCTTCAATAACTGCTTTCGTAAGAAGCATCAAACAATTTTCTTATTGTCCAACCAGTGTATGACATACCTTGTCAGATGATAATGCCTGTGGTATGATGCATTATCCATAACATTGGCTTTTCTACATACAGAAGAATATTGCAGCCAGAAGTTCATTGGCCTTGTAATTTTTAGGTTTTTTTTTCTGATTTAAATATCAAAAGAGTCATCCGCAAACCATCCTACACCACCTCCATACAAAATCAGGCTCTCCCCTATTTTCTGAGTTACTCCCAGTATATCAAGTTGCCAGTTGATATATAGGTAGACAGCTGATATTGTTTTAAATGGGTAGTAAACACTTCTACTATGTTTGCCCCAGGTACAACCCGTGCTTTCAGACCACCTGTCTCCCCACCCCCACCCAACACACCCAGGTTGCTTGCTGCACAGTGCAAGAGCGATATTTACAGAGGAAGGAGTCTCTCTCAGTGGGAGTCACTCCTAGTGCATCCCAGGGAACTTGCTAATTTGTTCAGGTATGGAAATACAGTGAATAATCACGTAAAATATCAAAATGTTTGATTTTTTCACTAAACTTGAAAAAAATTGACAAATGGAAAATTCGTAAATAAGTGAATGAATGGTATTTCTTATATAATTTTTTGTTGTGTTCAAAGTGAATATAAAAATTGTTAATAACCTTAAAGCCCAGGTGAAAAAAATATTCAAAATTAAATAACAGTAGTCAATTTTGCACCACTAATTATCCAATATTACATTTCTAATTCAAAATATTGATGAGAAAGCATGTAAGACTAGCTAGCATGCCATATCTAGTATAGTTGGAAATATAATGGAAAACTTGAGATAGTCAAAATAATTATTTGAATAGATCTAGTTTTGTTGAAAGGTTATATGTTTCAATCTAAAAAGTAAGTAATATTTCAACAGTCTTGCCATAATCAAGATCTCCATGTCTCGAAGGGGAGAACAAAATTTACACTTACACTGTTGAACAGTACTTCCAACTATCATTTCTACAGGCACATCATTCTTTCGGAAGTATACACAAATTTGTACCACTAAACACTTTAATTTTGAGTCAGAGAACCCATAAGTTTAAAAACAAAACCACTTACCTAAAGGCTGGACCCAAAACATACTGGTAAAGATGCAGTAATGTGCAGGCTACACCAATATCGGCAAGAGAAATGCGTTCGCCAACCAAATATGTGCGAGTCAGCAGATGAGTATTAAGGGTGTTTAATGCTGCCTTTACATCTTCCTTGGCACGCTCTGTTGACTAAAAAAAACAATGTCAAGCTAGGCAGTATAAAAGTGAACAAAGTTTGGCAATTCTTGGTCTGGTTGCATTTACATTTGTAAGGGATCTAATCTACTTAGCCTACAGAATTATAAAGCAATGAAACTAAGGTTCAAAATTTTGTTTCACACACAAAGCAACCACAGCTGGCCAGCAGAGACAACAGGATATTGCAACGAGTACATAGAAAAAGGAACGGTTATGGTACTATCAAATGATTAAATTGAGACCTTATGTTCACTCTCTTATCTTACTACAGGGCTAATTGTGAGAATATACTTCCAATGCACACTTCGAATCATTGTTTTTGATGACAGTTCATTAATGGCATAACACCATTTCATTCGAGTTTCCCATAGTCAATTAAGTACTATCTGACAGGAAAGCAAAACAATAACTTCATGAAGATACTAACCTGAAGTTTAGTAATACCCAGACCTTTAAGGCAAGAACAAGTCCATGAATTCAAATTAAAAAAAATTATTTTCTTCAGGTCAGAAAATCAGTAATTTACTAGTTGTAGTAAAGTCCCAATATGAGTATGAATGGTAGAACATAACATTTAAATAAAAACAAAAAACATGAAAACGAGGCATATAGCATTAAAAATATTTAGATTATAATTTTTTAGCATTTATTGAAAAATCTTATTAACCCTTCCGCGTGGGATGCCGTGTCCTGAACGCACCAGTCCTTTCACTTCTATTTCGAAGTGCCGTGGCAGGTACGCGAAGGGCCTTTTCTTCTGTCGTGGGATGACTGTAAGAATGCTTTTAGGTTCTTCCTTTCATTTGCGATTTGCCGTGTCCAACACTGAAAGTTTGTTTAGTTCTATTACAACCGTTGTTGCTGTAAATCGTGTAATTTGCCAGTGTGTAAATCGTTTAATTTCGTGCTCGTACACAGTGGGCCCGAGGAGTAGAATGTCCAATCAAATTGTTTTCTCAGACGCAGCAATTGAGAAAGAGCTTTTTGTAAGAGTGACAATGACTCCAGTGATACAGACAGTTCTAGTGATTCCGATGCCGTGTTCGAAGACGAAGACGATTTGGATGTGACGTGTGATACCAGCACTAATCAAATTTCAAATGTGTTTACGTGGGGAGACCTGAACAATTATTCTGGCAAGAGAGAAACAAGAGTGAACATGGACCACAAAATGAAGCTCGATTCACAGTTAATATTTTATAGTTGTTCAAGCTGTTTTTTGATGCAGAATTAATCTCAATGATTGCGTGCGAGACGAATCATTACGCT